ATGCACAGCATTTAATTTAATTTTGTATCTAATATATTAAAATTAATTAAATTTAAAAGGATTTTAAAGTTTATATTTTATTTGTGAATACATATTAATTAAACAAAACCATGTCCCTGAAAGTTTCATTGTGAAATTGTTCCAAACGGGGCTGGGATTTTAACATTAAAAGAACTATAAGGTGTGCACATGTGTATGCATACATTGATGCACATAGTATACCCACAYACCCACAATAATAATAATATATTAAACAAAATAGTGGTTGATTGCCCAATTTATTTTGGAAATTATTTGATTTTAAATGAAAAATACAAAACTATGATAATGGTCCAACATGTGACCTACAAATGTTACTCGASCTACCAATAAGATTGTGTAGATTAACAGGTTTCTTTATTGTGACTATTGTCATTATGTGCATTTTATTTTATTTTATTTTTGTTCTCCAATACTTACAATTATTAATACTTGTATTTAATGTCCTAAGTCAGTATAGTTCCGATTTCATTCGAGTGCGCTGTTTTGTGAATTTTCATGTGAGTTTATTTTATGCATGTGAATTTTTATGTTTTGAYTCAACATAWCATCTACTATTGTTCACCTATATAGGCACATTTTTGGAAATTAAATTACATGTGTTCAATATTTAAAAGACCGAAGGCCGATAACATTTCTGGCCGATAATCCGATGACATGTATAAAGGTGAAATACGGGGTTGTATGTAATGTCCAATACTTGTGGAATATTTAAGAAATACTATAAGACGAAATTCTGATGGAACTATGAAAAAAATTGTAACATTACGATATACGAAACAGGGTTGCCAGACTTAACAATCAATTTGAAAAGATAATGAGTTTTTTACCTAATATACGGATCTTAACAGCCGTTTGTAATAGTTAGCTATCATTATGTAAAATAATGGAAATAGTTTGGTTCCTGAGTTAATTTAGTTCTTAACTTTAGTTACACCGAGAAGTAKAATTAAAAAAGGTTGATTAAAATTATTTGTAATCGAACCTTTTTTTAAATTGGCAGAAACGGGCTATTGCGGGATTAATGATTTCAAATTTTGGCGAAAACGGTKAATTCCCCATAGGTCACGTAGTATTGGACCTTAAATCAGTGTGTAGGTAGTATATCTACCGTTACCCAAAACTATTTAAGTTTCGCGAGTTTGAATAAAATACCTCTAAAACTAGGCATACGTTTTTATTTTTTATGTTCAATAATTAATATTGGTCGTGRGTGATCAGTTTGATGTTGTAATTTATGAAGGATATAGGGCATAGGCAGATGCTAAATTAACTGTATTGTATAACGTAGTRTAAAATATAGTCAAAAGATAACATCAATAATAAAAATTAAATATACAGTAATCTACACATAGGCCATTAGCCCATGGTCATAAGCCTTTATATTTCAATATAGAGTTATTTAAATCCACGAGATCAAATTGGAAATATGTAAATTATTATGTATGAATATAAAATGTTTATCTGAATGTAATCATGAATAAAAATTATTAYTCCACGATGTTCTGTAGTTTTTTTTRTATCATTAGTTTAATTTTCATTAATGTATAGGTAAGGTCCTGCTATCACCATCACTTACTACTTTTTGTTCAAAATACTTTTAGGTAGGTATTTAAATAATATACCTTAATAGCCGAAATTCCGCAATCAACCATTAGATACTCCATACATAAATTTAACTAAAAACCATACTGTTAGATATTCAAGTATTTCAAAATCATTTTATGGAATTATGTTTTCCTTATTTCTTCTATTTTAAAACGTCAAGGTCATCGTACAAATATCGTTAAATTATCACTGCTGCTGTGAATATAGCGTGTACACCGATTCGTGACTTCATCAAGCGTCTGTATTGTATAGATATACCTATACTGGCTATACTTGTATTATCTATCGCGTTTGTCGGTTACCTATACCTCGTTTTTACAAATATATATTGTTTTATTAGGGTGGTATTTACAGTACTCGAATCGAAAAACTAGTGAGCGGGGGGTGCAAAAGTATTAAAAAAATATTTGCGTAAGTACATATCTAAAGATTTAAATATTTTATTGAATAGGATATGGTTATAGGTACAAGTAGGAATACGCAACATTCTTTTTTTTTAATAAGAATCCGACTGATGAGGTACTCCGCCCCCTCCCACCTCCGTCCTAAAACACTGTATATACCTATAACAATAAATTACCTACATAAACGCATAAAATGTACTCACATTTCGCCGAACATATCTTCCAGAGTGCTCAGTTTGTGTTCTTCGAGGATTTCGTTCTTCTGGAGTACGCACATTTCGCCAGATCCGGCGGCGACGGCAGTCGAACCAACAGCAGCGATTAGCGCGACGGCGATGATCATGGTTTTCCGCGTGGAAACAGATCGGGAAGACGTCATTATGTCGCGTCCAAAAAAAACGGAGGCCCGCAATAGTCTGATAATTATTGGTGTTCGAGATGAAAAAATATTGAATTCCGTATCCGGCCGAGGAGACGATCGCCGGCGAGTACGTACTTGCGGCACGGTACCGTGACGGACACTGACCGGTCTGACCGACGAACGCGAAGGAGCCTACGAAGTCGTATTTCTATTTTCTAGCGCCACTGCCCCGCCGCCGCAGATCGCGACCGCTGCGAATAGTGCAAGAGACGTGAAACTAGTTTTGACCCGAAGAGACTCGATGCCTATACATACTACTATTATAACTATTTTTTAATACTATACGTACAGCTATAATGGTAATACTGTTGCACAGTCTATTTGAAGAAAAAAAAACACCTTTCAAACATTTTCGGTCGAAAACAAACAGTGATGAAAAAAATGTTAGTGAACGATGCAGTCGCACGCTCGGAGAAACCGGCCCGGGACAGAGACAGAGAAAAATATGTCGTTGCGACCGATACAATTATTTAAATCACGATATAATATAATTATACGACCTTCGATCCCGGAGTAGACCATCATGGGTTAAGTGTTAGTATAATAACCTTATCGCGAGCCGTTCAATATATCGAATTTGTTTAGTAATATACATCACATATATACATACATGCATATAACTAATCAAATATATATATGTATAGTAACTATATGAATATGCGAAATTAATAAATAAATCGGTTCGCATTTAATGGATAATTAATTTTATAAAAATTATATTATATTTTTCGTTATCATAAAACCATATTAATGTGTAATATAGGCATACTAGTAGTGTATGGTATACCTATACCGTATCCATTTTATAGCGTACTRTAATATGTAATTAATAATTCAAATCAGACTCAATAAAGATAATCATTAAGCTATATATTTACGGTCAAAATGATGATAATATTCGCCTATATATAACATAATAATAAGTAGATAATATTTTATCGGTTCGATTTTCGACACCGTTTTACCGTTCGTGAGCCCATTAATATTTGAGTATAGCCTTCACCCGACGGTGAACTATTTTTCCRACTCGGACATTATCATCGTAACATTAATAGTGCCGCACCGTATTGCCAAGTTCAGAAGTATTGTTGTTTTAACGGCAATAGACTTTTTAATAAAATAATATATACACTGCAATACTGACGCAGTCATGGGGAAATAGCTAAAAGTTTAATTTATAACAGAAAAAGTGTGATCGAAATCCGACTCACGCGCTGCCATTTCGTAGCATTCGATATTGGTGCCATAATACCTATAATGTCTTTTAAATAAAACGAAACGTCAAATAATTGAACATAATAATAATATTGTATTGAGTAATGAGTAGGTATTTTTATTTCAAGTCTATATAGTTAACCTATATACGGGCATATGAACCGAAAAACTATAAAGTTGTGATTATGTTTGTTTTCGGGTTTAAAAAATATGAATTCGCGTGAACAAGTCTTCATCGACGGCGAACGCGCGAYGGTGCATTTGCTACAATAGGTTCGCACACTATTCATAGGTATATTATACAAGTTTAATCAGAGGATAGCGCGTTTGGCATGATGGTGGAGACAATACATGGGCTAAAGGAGGAAGCAGAGCGCTCCAGACAGGCGGGTGGACAGTTAGGGTAAACTTTATTATTTTGTGGACCGGAGGCCAGTTTTTCGGGTCGGTTAGAGGCCCCTGCGTATGTAAAATAACTACGATAATTGACGGYGAATAAACGATACGGGACCGGGCGGCCGTATTRTGCTAAACATTTCCCACCCGTTTCCGGTTTTTGGAACGGAAAAAAAAGGTATATACAAGTTARATTATTTGAACAACACAACGTRTTTTTAAGTAGGAAACAAGACGACTTATTTTTTTAGCTCTTGTAGACGGTAACTATATCTATATGACATCTCCTCAACAATCTCACAAATACAGTATAAGTATACACAATTATACTAGACAGCCTCACGACAAAAATAAGAGAATAAAACAATATATGATTGAATCGAGACAGTAAGAATTGGGAAAATCTACAAAAACAATATTAACAACATTAAATTACGAAACCAAAGTACAACTTTATATTTTTAAATAATAATATTACATTATGTTTATTATGGGCGTTGTTGATTCTTAGTAATTGTTTTGTATAATTAATATCGGGGGTCGAAATAAACGGTGTTATCTGCACAGCTTTATTGTWAAGTTTAGTGATAACACTAAATCTAATTATAAATTATTATTATTTTAATTTTTCGTGATTCGAGTGTACGGAACCGATAACAGTGAACTTCACAACATACGAGTGATGATAGAAATAAACTCGGAAGACTTAATATGTGCCTATATAAGGCTATAACTACGATAATAACAATCACAAGTTACAACAATGATTGGAATAAAGCTTAGTTTTCGAAAGTTGAGAGTTAAATTTCCTATTTCTAAACGCATTTTTCAAAAAATTAACTAAAAAAAAAAGTTTAACTACATCACTATTATGTGTAAGCCTAGCTCCCGTACTATAGTTAAAATCATAATTTGCTTACAATATGTACAAGACTTTTTTAATTCTTAAAGTGCATTCTGCTATTTTATGTTATTTAGCGAATATATATATTTATGGATTTATAAAATGTTTCCTTCCTGAACTTTTGTTAATTTAAGGGATCGGTAGCTGACAATTTTCAAGGGRTTAGAATTAGGCAATTTTCAAATCGCTTTCATACGGGACTTGTTAATGTGTGCATAGTATAAAATAAATAATTATTTTTGTGTGTGACCGCATATAAAAGAAAAAAGCAGTGCTCCCGCAAGCGCATAATATACAAGTCACCGTTTCAAAGTTGTGAGTGTGAATGATAAACAAATTATTATGATTATTTTTATGTACTTTTTGTCTACTTTACCGATTGACCTATAACGATATTTTTATAATGATTATTACGCGATAATAATATYGAAGAAAACCTATCTATTCGTTATAATGTCTACTTGATATCAGCCAGTAACCATTTTAAGATTTCTGATTTACCCAGCCGTCTAACCTAACCTAACCTAATCCGCATACAATCACTATCATGCGAATCATCATAGATGACGACCTAATCATCGGACCAACACACAAATCCCTAAGTTGATGGCAACGAAATTGCATATTGCCTAAATATTGCCCCTTAATGAAGACACACGAGCAGGCCCCCTTAAGTAGGTACCAATCATAATGATGATGCCTGTAAAATGTAATTACTCTATCACAAATCAATAATGTGATAATACTTTTGAAAAGTGATTTGAATTTGTTATTGCGCCTACTTGAGATCGACCAGTTCAATATTCCCAAATTCTATCTCCCCTTAACCAAAAACCTTTAAATTTGTTTTGAATATCTTGACGTTTCGGAATTTAAATCAGAAATCTTAAAATATGGACTGACCATTAAGTGACCAATCTCAAGGTAGATTATATATACATATATTGAATTCAGATCGGTTTTCTTAAATATTATTTTAAACATTATTACTTATTAGGTATCAATCAATCGGTAGGGTGGACGCCGTRGGGATGACTTGAACACGCTCTTCTATTTATTTTACACACATCCATGATCACTTACTACGCACACATTCACAAGACCCAGATGCGTGCAAACTGAATATTGCCTATTTCGAACTCCTTAAAACCGGCTCTCACTACCGATTCCCTTAATTTTAATAATATTATTTGATTCCGAAATCCAAATCACCATCTCTCAGTACCTATAAAACGTTACTAACAAACATAATATTGTTTTATTTGATGTAATATTTATGACATTTATGCACTTTGTATGAATAAGAATTCATATCATTGAGTATTCGATAGTCATTACAACGAATTATAAGGGGTTTTGAATAGGCAATTATAAGGTTTTTTCAAAAAATGAAAATRGAAAACATTTAGGTAATAATATAAATTTATTAATCTTTTTTATAAAGATGAAAAACGCATTTTTTTTCTCTAAAATTTTTGACTTTGTGTGTATAAAATATGTTGTCAAAACAAGTTACAGCATTTTCATTAAAAAAAAAGTATACATCATAGGTATTTACAAGCATTGTCATAAAGGACGTAAGAATATATATAAAAAAAATATCATATAAATACGGTTTATTTGTTTCTGATAATACAAAATTGAAAATAATACATCTTTGAATCACAACTGATTAAAATAGAAATAAAAAARATTCAATTAACTTTAGTGGAATTACAAATGTGAAGCAGTTTCTACTCACTACATCATCACTTACCTACATCTATTGGGATGTTGTGTGCTTATAAAACAATTAATAATAACAGTTCTACTTTTAAAATTTCTCAATATTATTCAATGAATAATTGTAATTAAAATATTGAATTTTCATTAAAAACATTTAGATTGTTTTGCGCTGGTACGAGGTTTATCAAGTTTAATAAAAAAACTTGAAAGTAAAAACTGATGTTTAACAATTTTAATAATTTTAATTCTATGGAGGCTTGTTAATAATTATGAGAAATGAACACTATGCATTGAATAAAGCTATTGAGATATTTTCTAATTATTACAAAGAATTTGTCATGTAATTACAAATATGTAGATATTAAAATCTAGCTGTAAAACATGTGAAATATATGAGAAATTTGGGATGTGACACATTAGATTTGAAAACTAGAATTACACATGTAAATAAGGCTATGTCATTGGGTTTAATTCATTATAATATTTAATAATGTGATACATTATTATAAAACATTATYTAAGACAAATTCATCAAATTATACCTTTTTAATATTAATAATTTCTTTCAATAAAAATATTTCATWGCAATAAAACCATTAAATTTAATYTAGATAATAACTTCAATAATAATTTAACCATTCTAAACAGTCTAAATGTTCTCTGCTAAACGTTCATAAATAATTAATTTCTTAAACAAAATATAAATTTTAAGTTAATACTTCATAGCCTATCATGATTTGAGCCAAATCAAATGATAATATTATCAAATAGTAATTAGGATTTTTTTTTTTTTTTTTTTAAGTATTAAAGAGTACAAATTTTTTTACAACTTTAGTACATAAATAGAACAAGGTTTATTTTAATGCACTTGAAAAATGCTGTCAAAAATTGTTAAGTGATAACAATTTGGATTTTGTTTATTTATAAAAGTATAAAAAGATGGTCTTTTGAACTATTTATGCTTGAACAGATTGAAGAAATTTAAAAATTATTCATCACATTTTATGTGAAATTAAGTACAGAGTTAAAAAAACCAATGTTATACTGTGAAGTATTTAGTGTTATCGGTAAATACTATAACACCCTTAAAATAGAAGCATATAAAGCAAAATATCG